GTCCGGTCTTTATTAAAAGATTTCCATTATATTTTTTATTATTAACATAGTGTCATTACTAAACCAAGCATATCTTTTTTGGGTAAAGTTGGTGTGAGCAACTCCTCACTCGATGTCACTGATGTCACTTTTGCTTAATTGTCAAAACATCAGTGATTGATAACACCAACAGTAATCCCTCTAACCAGACAGACGAACTAATAATCGGTTTTTTTTATGGTAAATAACGCAGACACCTGAATGACAATAACCTGAAAGGAATTAATGGAAGCACCTTCAAACGCATAAAAGAGTTAGAAGAACTGTGAGTAAATATCAGATACTATTGGAGAGGAAATTCCTCGACCTCAAAACAGAACTTTGCATCGCAACAGTTTATCATTTCCCTTTGCTAGATCAAAGTGTTTCAAGATCTGCATTATGACTTGTGCTGTGAAGTGCAATGAAAACGGATCAACAAAAGTAGATAATCACATTTTTAATACAGACATTCTTAATACAAAGAAAATAACTTATAATTCAAACTTTGCGAAAAATGTGGAAAAAGACACAATTACATTATTGCTTCGCATGATGTGGTTATTTGTTAAGTTGTGAATTAAATGTTGCAGCTCAGTACAAAAAAAAATGTTTTGTAAAGTAGAAGCATTCCATTTCCCAACCATCCGTTTGTCGTTGATTTTTCCCATGCTTTTTTTTCATTTTCTTTTAATCTCTTTTTCCCTTTAATGACAAAAGACAGGTCAGCTAGAGGCTACTTTCAAATGATAGAAATAGCTGGATTTGATACAACTAATCATGTTTCTCCACTTCAAAATAGATGGTTGCAAGACAACAACATCACTGAGTTACCTCCTGAACTATTTCAAGATCTAGAAAACCTGCAGGAACTGTAAGTTTCTTTGGAGATCCTTTCCTCACGTATTAGCTTAATGACTGCTCAACTCTTTGTCACTATTCCAAACATTTATTAAAGACTGAAAGAAATATCAGTCACTTGTAATATCTCATAACTAATTATATTCCTATAAGCACCAAAAACATAACCTACCAATTTAACCATCTCCAATTTTGATCTTTGTTTTTCTAATGATCAGTGTAAGATCTGCAGTCATTCAACAATGAAATCATGCGTGCCATAAAGTTTCTAGTCGTTATGGGATATTTTTACCTTTTTTTAACTATTTTGATATCTTCTGAGATTAAGAGCTCGATAATTTCTCTAATTATTTCTACCCTAAGAATGATTTTAAATGAAAGGGGAACCAGCCTACCTCTCCCAACACAAGAGAGTTGGGCGTGGTAGCAATTGTAAAATTGTCAGCTACGAGTTTCTTCTTTTGCTAGAAATATTGACCTTACCAAAATGAATGGGCAATATGTATATACTCGACAGTAACCATGATAAGCAATAAACAAAAATGGTGCTGTTCCTCCTGGTTTTATAGATAAACGGACGTTTAATTGTTTGACAAATTGTGAGACAAACGATTTAACAGTCATTTNGGAAAAAAATGTCGAAAGTGGATGTTTCCTTGATTGGCTTCTTTTTTAATTTTTTATAAGGGAAACATATTTCATGTCATTTTTTCTCAAAAGATGTTGACAGATGTTCTCATGTTCTAGTTGTTCTTTATTATTGTGTTCTTAGCAAGTTTAATATGCTAGGGTCTTCTTGAGCTGAATTTGAAGACATAAGACTTCTTCCTGGGAATATGTGCTAAAGGTTTGGGGGAAATAAATTGAAAAAGGGAGGCCACTACACAAGTAATAAGACACTTTTTGAAAGTTTTTCAGCACAAACTGCCAATAATTATTATTCTATGAATCAGTTGATGGTAATTCTATCATTAGCAAATTCTTTGTAACTGTGGGGATCTCTTGTAGGGATTTGTCAAACAACGAACTTGGAAATCTGCCACCGCACATCTTCAGAAACATTACAGCGATAGAGTTTCTGTGAGTAATATTCTTATTGACATTAAAGATTGTATTGAAAATTTTAGAATGTGGTAAATACAACAGCTTCCTAGATTATGACAACTCTAATTATAATATACTTTCAGAAGGCAAACATTAGTTTCCTTTAAAATATAATATATATTATTGTATTGGAGGATCAAACTACCCAATAAGTTCGTAATTTGTAACAGGAAATGGATCATAAATCATTTTTCAAATTCAGCTTTAAACAATAGACCTCATGAGGGCGTTTGGGAATAAACTTGGGATTTTTTTAGCTTAACCTTGAAAGTATTATTCTCATGTCTGATGTTTTTCTTTGAAGAGTAAGAATTGAAAACTGAGAGCTATTTTATTGGAGAAAGCATTGTCACTGCCTTACCTGAACAAGTGTAGTGGCCTAAAAAATGAAAAAAAAGAAAAACAGTCTTAAAGATGTTACTCCACAGCTACATCTGCATATGTAGTCTAAACTTTCCATGGTGCTTTCTTCAGAAAATTGGACTACAATAAAATTGAGAGGCTTCATGAAGATCAGTTCCAGGGCTTGGTAAAGTTGTTCGAATTGTAAGTACACTCAGAGTTAAAACCTTTTCCCAAGATGAGTGGATTCGCAAACCATATGCAGCTCCGGCGAGGGGCTAACGCTTAAAACGTCAGCTTTTATAAATTCTTTACGGAGGCCATTTTACATTTATCAACTCCAGTTGATAACAGCAAAATTACAAGATTGTAATGCTAACTCTGTCATCGATTAAATGTAATATGCCACACCCGATTGTAATCATATTATGTTACGTATTATATTATATATCTTTTATTTCTTTCACCTGTTTAAGATATCTCTCGGAGAACAAAATCGAGACTTTGCCTGAGAAAATTTTTAAAGGCGTCGCAAACCTTAAAGCTCTGTGAGTACAGTTAATCACAAATAGAAAAAAAAAATTAGAATACTTGAAGGAATGGAAAGAGTATAACAGAAGCATTTAAAATCTGAGATTTAAGTTCACAAATTCTAATATCAAGTAAATAAAAATAAGCTGATCAACAAAGTACTGCTGTAGTAATTTATGTTTGACTAAAAATACGGTCTTTTATGAAATTACTTTTAGCAAGCAAGGTTAGATATAAGAAAAACGCAAACACTCATGGTTGAGAGCCAGATAGTTTCACTGCAGTTCCATGTAAATTTATGAGGAAACAGACAATCATGAGACCCTGTCTACTTACTAATTGTGAGTTATTGTGTTATTCGTTTCAGAGATATCTTCGGCAATAAGATACGAAACGTTTCCAGCACGACTTTCACCTATGCCCACGAATTGCGATTTTTGTAAGTGTACGGCAAATGAGAGACTTTCATCCAAGCAAGTAAACTTTGTAGCATAAAATTAATTACAAAGCTGGGCTTTTTCAGGAAATATTTTGGGTTCTTGGGTTTTTTCTTTCTTTTGTTTTCCTCTTTTTAGTGCTTTTTGTTTTTTTTTTTTTTTTTAACAATAATAAATGAATCTCATTCTCCCAATTCAAATTTTTTTGGAGTAAGCCAAATCAAATTTTTTGGTTCAATTTCTATATAATCCAACTTAGTGTTTTTCGCATAATTTTTCAAAATTGCAGGTTTATGCACTACAACCTGATGGCTGAGCTCCCTAGAGGACTTTTCACCCAGCAGTTGAAGCACATTATCAGAGTGTAAGACTCCGTCCATAATAAACAATTACTTCATTCACCCATCTAAAAAATTGTTTTAATAAGAGTGTATGTTATCAATCAATCACCAATTATTAA